GCCGTCAAAGCGTCGCCGTTTGAAGGATTGAGGCCCGGGATGGTCGATGATGGCCTTAATATTATCCTGTAGTTGCATGACGCCTGCAGGAGACATATGGTGGCCTAGATAACTGACAGAATGGACACCAACCGAACACTTGTGCTTCGATCGTTACCCTGTGTTGGGATAAATGGACAAAAGTGTTCTCACGTGGCGCAAGTGCTCCTCGTGTGAGCAGCACGCGATTAGGATGTCGTCGGGCCACACTTAGACGATGTTTCGGCCACGACAGACTTGATCAACGAAACGTTAGAATGTTTGTGCGGCATTCTTAAGACCAAACGACATGCGCAGAAACTCTAACAACCCACAGGGAGTCGTCACGTCAATTTTAATGATGTCCGCTTCGGCTATCGGAATTTGGTTAAATGCGCGTGCTAAGTCGATTTTACGGGAAACATTTCTACCTGCCGGAATGGTGATGAGATCCACGAAGTGTGGTATCGTTTAGGAATCGGGCGTGGTAACCGTATTCAAGGTTCGGTAGTCGCCGCAAGGATGCCAGTCCTTCATGACCTTCTTCGGGAATATGTGGAAAGTTGACTCTCAGGGGCTGTTGGATGGTCTGACGACACCGAGCTGAAGCTTGTGGTCGAATTCAGCTCGTGCGACACATAACTTGTCGGAGGCGGGTCGTCTCGCTCGGGCAGCCGTTGGTGGGCTGCGCGTGACCATGAGATCAGCGACCTCTGTCCTGACTGGCAGAAGCTCTGCAGCTGGTCGCACTAGTCGCGGGTATTCGGATAGCAGGTTCGCATAATCTGTAGGTACATCGGTACTTCTGAAAACGGGACTGATTATCTGGACGTCCGTAAGAATGCCTTCAACCCACTATCTTAATACGGTCATCTAGAAGCCTGTGACGCGCCGGGTCAACAAGCAATGCAAAGTGTCGGTGGAAATCGATACCGATAATTGCAAAGGGTGCAGAAGTAACCGTGAAAACCCACTAAAAGCGCGGCGGAGACTTAGGTCTAGGTTCATCAGTCGCTGACCGTATGAAGCTATCGGCGATCCGTTGGCCGCACGCAGGTTGTGCGTGGGCTCTGAATGCTTATCATTTGCGCTAGCAGGGATGACGCTCACCTCTGATCCCGTGTCGTCTAGGAAAGTGACTTGAGAGCGCCTATCCTTGACGTAATCCAGACGATCTGTTTTGTCGCTACCGGACGTGTGGGCCGCGTTCATGTGCCGACGAACGAGTTTTCCTGTGCTACTAAATCATGGTACCGCAAGGTGATCTGCAACGTCTGGCTCTGTTACCTTAATGACGATGACAACAGCATAAATCGATCGTTGAACTAAGGCTGAGATCTGCTCCTGTATGGCAAAGGTTTAGATTGATACGAACTCCGACGGGTGGCAGATAGCTCTTGGGCGGAACTCGACCTCGTTACTTTTTGGCTCTGCGTTTGTATCGTTGCTAACGACGAAGTGTTGCTATATCATGGTCCCTAGGACCATGTTGTTTAGAAACATTTCCAAATGCGCTTTGGCCGCTTGATTATGTAGTAAAGTGGTAACCGTAAGATCTCGATTGTTGGGGATACCGTTCGAATTCAGCCTTTCGTACCGTGGCTAATTCTTACAGCTTTCTTTCTGGGTATGTCGAGAGCATCATAAGCAAAGGAGCTGGAAGGCGGAAAAACCATAACTCTTTGAGCGCTGATTCGCACATGTAGGAAGGACCAGCTATTAGTTGAATCTCTCGAAGCAGAACAGATGGCTTCCGGTCGCCTAGTTTGATGCCGTTTATAAGCCGCTCTTATCAGGGCCAAGCACTAGACTGTGATGCACTGAGTAACATTGGCTTCATTGTTTCGTTTTGTTTGCTTTCGGAGTCACAACTATTTGGGAGTCGCGTAACCAGTTGGTTGTACTTAGCCTGGTCGAAAATAACAAACCAAGCCTGAGCATCGTGTTCCATAAACTCGAAAACAGCCAAGATATGCATTTTCATTCTACCAACCGATTCGGGTTTCAGGTCGGAGTGAAACATAGTGAGATTGAGAACGACTCGGGGAAATGAAAACAAAAACGCTGTTTACTAAATATCAGGAAACACGCACGAGAACCAACAAACTCAAAGCAAAATATGCAACAAAAATTGAAAAACTACGTGTGCAACTCGGGGTCACCAGTTGATGGGACTAGTAGATACTAGTCAGATTCGATGCGCTTGATCAACAGCAGATTCCAGAAGGCACTAAATAAATAAATAAACGTTTATTTCTCAGCACTGCGAGGCACGGACCAATTGGGTGGTCTTATCAAACTGTAAAACGTGATCGTATAATATAGTTAATTATTCGTCTTTTGATCAATGGTTCCCATATGGGTTATTGAAATGATTAGCAGTTTGGAAAAAATAGAGAGATAAAGAAACTGGGAACAATAATAAATGTAGATTTCGCGGAAAGTTCAAGTAAAGTAATACGGTCATCCATGGAACTGTCCCCAGGGGACTTGCTTCCATGCAGGGTATTTCCACGATGGGTTTCACCCACACTTCCATGCTCCAATTGGCTCTGTGCCTGTGTGGCAAAATAGTAAATAGGCCACCAGAGCTAGGTGTCAAATGACTTTTTTAGGGCTGTTTTATGCATACATTATAGGCGATGAAGCCTCAGCCCTTTCTGTCATGCGGATCAATCAATTATGGCACTTTTTGTTTTAAGCCAGCGAGTCAGTAGTAATATGATTTGCATGGGTATACTTTTTTAATCTGGAAGCTGTAATCCGTCGCCACAAGAGATCAGCCCAGTCATGACCAACGGTGAAACAAAGAAGAATATAAAATATGAGGAATTATAAAACATAATCATGACTGCAAACGTTTGCCGATAGGCCAGTCATAATTTGATGGAAAATCTTGGCGAGTGACGACGATGGTACAGAGACATCAGCTTGAAAGGTGTAGTGCATCTACGAACCAGTGCGTCAAAGGAGAAAACAGAATTGGTTAGACGGATTAATAGGAGTAAGATCGTTCTCAAATATATACTCAAGAATGCAATTATATGTAGGTAATCTTATATTATTGAAACGAATAGAGGATATGGTGACTTTCATAAGTATCCAGGACCTTTCTCATACAAATCATCTAGAGTCACCGTTTGGCTTAGTGTTGACCAGATGTTTACAACAGTCAGGTGAATATTAATCATGCGTCTGAATTGTGCATAGGTAGTGCAGTTTCTAACACTAGATGGAAGTTTGTTCTATATTGACGCATATTTTACAGAGAAAAATTTTGAGCGGAGCTTTGTGCGAGACCTTGGTATTTTGACTGGGCGCTCGCCGTTTCTTAGTTCATAGCGCATACGAGTCTGAAACTCGAGTTGTGGCTGAGCAGTGAAGGTTAATCCGAATAGCAGGCGGTAAAGAAGGCACAGATTAAGTTTGAGTCTGCGTAGCCATAGCGGCTCCAGATTTAGCGCCTCGCAACGCTCACGGTATGTCATAGAATTAGGCATGTTCAGGAAGCTTTTTGTGAATGATCGTTGAATGTTTTCTAGTGCTATAATATCCACTTTTCTCAGATTACCATGCACTATCGTACAGTACTCAAGTTTCGGCCTAACACATATTTTAAAGGCTTCAAGCCTGGAATCCCTCAAAATAAGAGTTCTACTTATGTAGGCGATCACTATTCTGGCAGAAGCCTGCAAGAATATAACATGCTCTAAAAAGTTAAATGAGGCAGAATATCTTAGACCAAGGTCTCGGACTGCACCACACACAGGAATAGGGGTATCGTTTAATGTAAGGATGTTCAGAGAAGGGTCACAGCCGTAGTACAATGGATTACTCTTGTCCGTGGCAAAGTGCAGCTTCCAGGAGTTACTCCAGAGCTCCAATGCGGACAAGTCAGACTGAATATAGGCTAAATTAGGACTACATTGTCCAGGGACGGAACAATACACAATTTTAACATCATCTGCGAAAAGGAACGACTTTTCATACGAGATTTCGTCTAGGAGATCGTTGAAATAGATTAAGAATAAAAGCGGGCCTAGCACGCTACCTTGAATCACTCCACTGGAGATTTTGGCGGCTTCAGATGTACGGTTACCGATTTTGACTACTTGCTTTCTGCCCTCGAGGTAGGAAGACAACCAATCTAGAAGCGAATTAGTGATACCATAGGACATAAGCTTCAGCAACAATAAATTGTGTGGGACACGGTCGAAAGCCTTTTGGATGTCAAGAAAATTACGATGATAGCACTTCCGGCGTCTCTTGCTCTAGTCACATAATCAAGGTAATCTAACTGGCAGGTAGTGCACGATCTACCTTTCAAAAAACCGTGTTGATGTTTACTTAGAAGGTTCATAGAGCTCAAATATTCTATTATGCGTTCTTTAACTATCCTCTCCATGATTCTGGAGATAATAGATGTGCGGTGGATTGGGCGGTAATTTTTTACATCTTGCATAGATCCGCTTTTGTGCCTTGGTATTATAGTTGATTGCTTCCAGTGTATGGGATACTCCCCATTGAGCATGGAAAGTGTAAATACATTAAGCGAAAACAGGGGGATGTCTGGACTTCCGTGCTTTACCAGTATTGGAGGGATGTTGTCAGGGCCTCGTGAGCATGATGGCCGAACTAATCTGAGTTGGCGACATATGTCACTAAGTGTAAGCTCAACAGTTTGAAGTGTATTTCTGCCTCTGTGTATCAGCTTGAGCTGAGGATCTTTTTTCGCATTAGGGCTATAAGTAGACATGCAGTAGTCATTGAAGATCGAACATAAGATTGCACGGTCGGTTATGGCAGTTCCATCAGAGTTTACAATGGTGTTTATACAACTTGATTTTCTATTTTGCGAATACATTAGACTCTATTGTGTCGCTACAACAAAATAAAGACAGATGCACCGACCAGTAGCAAACGTAAGTCTCGGACTCACAGAACGCAATTGTGTAGTATGCAAACCAGGGAGAAGACCGATGGTCGAGTAGGAAAGTGTATTACACAACACGTAGTCTCTATAATAGGAAATCAGTAGTGTAAAAGAGGAAAAAGAGAAGTTACGGTTAACCGTTTCCTTCGAGATATCTTCCGTCTTCGGTAACTGCGCAGGAGTGGTGCTCTACAATGCAAACGGGAGAAGTACCGTCAGGATAACGATTCGAATTCAATCACGCGCCACAAAACAGTTTCGATCACACTTTACACTGCACCCCCCTTTAAGTGGGCAACGTCCTCGTTGCCACGCCGTAACCTCCTTTCGCCGGCACTTCCATTTCAATCGCTACTTCTGTGGACGGATTGTCTGAGTCCATAGCTACTTGCCCAGTCACCGTATGGAATGGTTTGAGCCGATTGAAGTGTACAATCATGGGTTGAGCGACGGGATTGTTAGGGTCCTTGATGACACAGTTTAGGTCTGATATTACGCGCTGTACGACATACGGCCCAGCCCACTCATGACATAGCTTAGTCGGTACTCCAGCTGCTGGTACCTGATGCAGATACACAACATCGCCAGTCTTCAAAGGGACCCCAAAAGTCTTCTTGTCATAATAGTCTTTTTGTCGTCGATGCGCGTTCGCCAAATGAACACGTGCTGATTGGTGCGTCTGTTGAAGCGAATTGAGCAGCTTGCTAACGTACTCTGTTACTGACGGATGTGGCTGCTGAGAAGTTGGTAGACGTATATCCGAAGGCAATCGAACTTCTCTTCCGGTCCACATAAAAAATGGTGTTTGCCCTGTAGAAGAATGAACGGTGCTCCGGTAGGCCAACAGACATTTGGATAACATGGTGTCCCACTCACTGATATTCTGGTCAACGAAAGCTTTCAGTAACAGCTTCAGAGAACGATTAGTGCGCTCAACCTGTCCGTTGCCTTGGGGATGATACGCCGTCGTTCGAGTCTTGTCTATGCCGAGCACTCTACATAGCTCTCGTACCAGCGAACTCTCAAAGCTGGATCCCCTATCAGAGTGCAGTTGTCCCGGTGCACCCCACTGACAGATCCACTGATTTACCATCGCCGTAGTCACTGTCACCGTATCAGCCTGTGAGAGCGGAACCGCCTCACACCATTTTGTAAAATAGTCAACCATTACCAGAATGTAACGATTGCCTCGCGGTGTTTCTCGGAGAGGGCCGATAAGATCTACACCAACTATCTCATTCGGGTATCCTGCTACAATAGGTTGTAGTGGCGCTCTTTGGGTAATGTGTGGGTTTTTAAAGGTGGCACAAGTCTCACATGACTGGCAAAAATTTATGACGTCTCTTCGCTGATGTGGCCACCAGAAACGTTGACGCGCTGCTGACTCAAGTTTGTTGATTCCCGCATGACCAAGTTGTTTATGCAGCTCCGACAGCACTTCACTAACTAGTGTCCGTGGGACCACGATTCTTCTGGCGTAAGTTGGACCGAAATCAAACACTAGCACCCCTTCTTCCATGGACAACTTCTCCCACATCGCCCACAAGCAACGAGCTTCGTAACTCTTTCCCTCCATTTCTTTCGAGGTAGGTCTGCCTCCTCCTGAACGGCGCTTATCGTAAATAAGTGAGATGTCGGGGTCTGACGCTTGGGCTTCTTGCCAACGCCCGTACTCCGCACGTTGAAGGTTAACCAGAGCTACGTGTTGTGTAATGCAGGATGGGCAGTCGCCGTGATTTCGGATCGGGATCCTGGAGAGGGCGTCTGCATTGGCGTGTTTAGCGCCAGGCCGGTGTTGACACTCGAAGTCGTACTCCTGCAACTGTTCCTGCCATCTCGCAATCTGACCTTCAGGATCCTTGAAGTTCTGTAGCCAACGGAGTGATTGATGGTCTGTACGTACCACAAATTTCCTCCCCAGAAGGTAATGCCGATTCTGTTTTATGAAAAATACCAAGGCCAACATTTCTTTTCTGGTTGTACAGTAATTCCTTTCCCTGGAGGTGAGACTCCGGCTACCGTACGACACAACTCGTTCTACTCCGTCCGTACCTTTTTGTGACAGCACTGCTCCAATAGCGTGGTCACTTGCGTCCGTGTCTAAAATAAACTCTCCGGCAGATGTTGATATATCGGGAAATACCAAAAGCGGGGGGTTACAGAGGGACTCGCGTAACCGGTCAAACGCCTCCTGACATTCTGCAGACCACACAAAAAGACTATTCTTTTGAAGTAAAGCATTCAATGGTGCGGCGATCTCAGCAAAACCTTTAATAAAACGCCTATAGTATGAGGCCAAACCAAGAAAACTACGTAGCTGGTCGACGCTGACGGGTATTGGCCATGATTTCACTTGCTCGGTTTTACGGGGATCTGTCTGAATACCTGTTCTCGAGATGATATGTCCAAGATAAGTCACCTTTTCCTGTAACACGTGACACTTTGTCGGTTGAAGTTTGAGACCCACGTCGATAAGTCGCGATAGCACATCTGCTAGATTGCTCAAATGATCATCCTTCGTTTTCCCATGGACAATGACATCATCCAGATAAACAAGACATTTATGGGGGACCAAGTCATCTAACACTCGCTGCATGAGGCGTTGAAATGTAGCAGGTGCGTTTGCTAGCCCGAAAGGCATGGTTTGAAACTCGTAGAGACCAGACGGTACCACAAAAGCCGTTTTCGCTTGGTCAGTCTCCTCGACTTCGACCTGCCAGTAACCGGAGGCCAGGTCTAAGGTACTAAAGTAAGCCGATCCTCCCAGTGCGTCGAACAGATCATCGATCCTAGGTAACGGAAATGCGTCCTTGCGAGTGACTTCATTTAATCGTCTATAATCTACGCATAACCGAAAACCACCATCTTTCTTTTTGACCAGCACAACCGGAGAAGCCCAGGGGGAAGTGGAGGGACGCACAACGTTTTTTTTCAACATCTCATCTATAAGCAGTTGTAACTCACTCTGCCAGTGTAACGGGATCCGTCGTGGAGGTGACTTTATTGGACGCGCGCTACCAGTATCAATCGAATGTTTCACGACACCGGTCCGACCTATATCTCCTGGGCGCCAGGCAAATGCCTCAGAGTGGTTGCGTAATATCTCTTTTAATCTCTCCAAAGTTCGCTTGTCAACAGGCGAGCCGAGTGCTGAGACAAAGTCGTTTATGCATTGTTCATTATCAGCAGTATCCTCCCAGATTGCAAACGTTTCTACCTTGTCACCACGATAAGGCCTGAGCAACACGGTATAGGTATCCGTGCTTAGCTGAAACTTATCCAGGTCTAATCTACATCTCAACCGGCTCAATAGATCCATTCCAATGATGACACTGAAAGGTATCCTATCAGCAACAACGAACTCGTGGTGAAATGTATCACTCGCTATCTCGACTAAAGCAGTGACTGTTTCACGAACAGGGAGAGATCCCCCGTTTGCCGCGGTCAAACGGTAACGGCAGGGAGCCCGCGTACAGTTAGTTAGTTGTGACGTAGAATCAGACCTAATCAAGCTTTTGCAGGCGCCAGTGTCGATCAAACCAATCAATGGGATTCCGGAAACTCGCAGTTCTAAAGTTAACGACAAAGTCACCGACGAGGGGCAAGTGACAGCGGGTATGAAATCAGAAATTGCAGAATGTCGCTCACCTTCTGGTTTGCTGTGGACAGGATATGTTTCACGGTATCCTTGCTCCAGTGGCCGTGGGCGAGCTCCTCTGAAATAGGGCTGGTGTGGGCGTCGAGGGCGAGGGAGCCCACGATTCGCAATTCTCGGTTCTGAAAGCTTGTACTCAGGTTCGCAACGGTTCCCCACGGCACAACAACACGATGATGTAGGACGCATGGCGGCATCGACTCTTTCCAATTTCTCAGCCAATTCCACGGCCGCACCCCAACTCTCCGGCGGATATAACAACAACTCACGACGAATCGATGGTATTCGGACTCCATCTACGAATTGTTGCAATATTCGTTTTTCCCGGATCTCGGGAACGTCGTCTGCAAATGCGTATCCTCCGAGGCGCCGCAGCTCCCTTGTGAACGACCGTACAGTTTCACCGGGTTGCTGAACGCGAGCATGGAAAGCTTGCCTCCACTGCGTAGGCAGAAGCGGGGAATCGAGAAGTTTTGACAGTGCGTCGAACGTGTTGTCATCAACCCCGTTTTCCAGCACATCGCTATCAGCCACAATGTCCAATGCCTCCCCTGAGAGGAGTCCTAGCAAGACGCAACCTCTCATTTCGTTGGGGAAGTGTCTGACATACGCTCTGGCGTGTTTCGACCAGGTGGTGAAAGTCATTCCCAAGCAGAATTTCTCCGGCGCAGGGAGTGAAGGGATACATCTGACTTCGGTAGACTGCGGAGTAGCATTGCTAAGTTTGGCCAGATCTCCATCGCGCTTCAAGCCGGCAAATTCGCTCTGATCCTTTGGTACGGCGACCTTTCGATTTGACGAATTCGACATTTTCCGCGGGGATCCTGGCAGGGTCGCCATGTTGTAGTATGCAAACCAGGGAGAAGACCGATGGTCGAGTAGGAAAGTGTATTACACAACACGTAGTCTCTATAATAGGAAATCAGTAGTGTAAAAAGAGGAAAAAGAGAAGTTACGGTTAACCGTTTCCTTCGAGATATCTTCCGTCTTCGGTAACTGCGCAGGAGTGGTGCTCTACAATGCAAACGGGAGAAGTACCGTCAGGATAACGATTCGAATTCAATCACGCGCCACAAAACAGTTTCGATCACACTTTACAATTGTGCCTAACCGGATGAAGGCCAAACATATCCGTTGTATATGGGTGATTAAAACAAGAAATCTTATTGTACAATTAACCAGGAATGAAATTTCACATAGATAGCAGTTAGCTTTTGTGATGCTACATGACTCATTTGGATTTGTCGAAAGCGATCATAAAACTAAGGTTTGAGCAGCGCCCCTTAATCAGCTTGGTAAATGATAGTTAGACATTTTTCAGAGCTGTGTTGTCTTTCATTCTCAATTGGCTTTGAAGGAAGGTACAGTATTTCAGAGTCAGTCGAACAATTATTTCGAATAATTCAGTGCGTGTTTCAGGCATGGGGATATTTCTGGTGATGTATCCGCATAGCTGTCTCACTTTTGCAACTTGTGAAAGCACATCTTCCGATAAACTGGAAGATTTGGAGTGCCTAATTCCTAAGTCCCGTAATGAATCAGACGCTGGGATTACGTTTGCGGCAAGTATGATCGAGACTTCCGGAAAGCAGCATCCGTCCCCAAGTGCTTGGGATTTTACTGGGAAGAACTTTATTAACAAATATTCACTTGTTATATTTAGTGAGAATAGGCCTTCATAGGTGCTTCCCAGGCACCTTTGTAATTGGTCTGGATGAAATGAGCAGACCAATTCGACGTCATCTACAGACAGAAATGGGTTGCAATGTTTGATCGGGTAGCAAATGTTGTTTATGTAGATTGGGAAAAGTAACGGTCCTAGCATACTTCCCTGGAATTCGCCACTGATTATTTAATTTGGCGTAGAGTATTGCCGACCGAGTGTGACTACCTGGGTTCAATCGTTTAGGTATGAGTCGAACCAGTTTGGCCAAGGGTTTCTAATACCATCTGAAACTAGAACGAACAGCAGTGGCTTGTGCATCACGCGGTCGAACGTCTTTTACGTGTCAAACATAATTATCATGATTGCCAGTTCTATGTCAACCATAGTCGTGATATGACCGAATAATTGTACCCGGCAGGTAACACGGAAGCGTTTTGCGAGAAAGCCATGCCATGAGGAATTGCCCAGATCCAGTCTTGTAAGGAGTTGCATGATGATCTTCTTGACTATTCTTTCTAGGACTTCGGTAGAAGCAGTGTTGGGATTTGTAAGGTGGTAGCTTGACATTTCATTTTGCTGGCCACCCTTGTGCTTAGGTATGGTTATGGAGTGCTTCAATTGAGATAGGAAGCGGCCGGTAGAGAGAGAAAGTGTGAAGATGTTTACCAACAATAGAGAGATGTTTTATCCGCTGAGTTTTATGACACTTGGGGAGATGTCATCTGGGCGTGGACGAGGTGAAGGTTTAACGGATTCGATGGCACATTGCACCTCTCCAAACGTCACAGGAATATTACACCGTACCTCTTTCGTTCTTTTTGGAAGTGGAGTGCAAAACAACTGAGTGCTAGGAACAGAGCAAGGGGCAAAACTAGTGTTAATGTCCTCGCACATGCCGGAGATGTGACGCGTCAGTGAACCATCGTCCTGGGCTAAGTTTTCAGTTTCCAGATGGGGTTTGGACTTCCTTCTTTTGAGTAGTTGCATTAGGATAAGTACTTTTTCAGGATTTCTAGGTACCCGACTTTCTTCATTGATTTCGGCTATTTGGACTAGATGTCGTAGCTGTATCCGAGCCTCGTATATTTGTAGCAATGTTGCGAAGCTTTTGTTCCGGCAGTAAAGTGAGTTAGTTGCTCCAGTTTGGTTGTGGCTTTGTAAAGAAGCTTGAGTTCACTACTGTGTTCATAACTACTTCCCATACAATAGGCGTGAGTAGATTACCACAAAGGGCAATATTACTAAGAAAATCATGTTTAGCTGCAGTCGCATTGTGAGTTAACAAGGACCTGTTCCATTTCATGGTACTGATTGGTTCATTAAGTGAGTTACAGTCCACTCTATTGAGGTTGCGAATAAGTGTTGACATTTTACTATATGATTTAGGTTATGCGTGTCCAAACTTTTCGCAAGGCGGTCCACCTTTTGTGAGGTAAAAATATGGCGTGCCATATTCGGTCATGAAATCCCTAATTATTTGTAATCTATTGATTGTCTTCTGTAGGGAAAAATTCATGCTTAAATTTATTATTTCAGAATGAGGCAGCGGACCAGTTGAAATGTTAACGCGGGCTGCATTCGGTCAGCGGACCGGACTTTGGACACCCTTGATTTAGGTGATTCAGTAGCCATATCATGTCAGGTGGTGATCAGAACACGATGGTGTATCATCAATAAATACATAGGCTTTAGTGCACTGTGCTCGGTTTCCTCGTGGTGAACGTATCCTAGTGCGTGCGCAAGGTATAAATTGGTCTCGTCAATACACACTAGTTACGGTCCTTCCGTCCGAAAATGCAAGCGCCTAAATACTAACGAATGCTGTGGTATTTTGCTCTCCGACATATTCATGGACGCTAAAATCGTGTGCAACTCCTTCATCGTTATCGGCCGGCGGTCTAGGTATCTGGCCACGGTACTGGTATTGACGTTAATCACGAACTCCGCCTCCAAACGCTACTTGTTTCAAGGGGTATTGTTAGGTCTGCGGACACCCACTCCACCAGAGAAGCTACGTGACTTTATGCCAGAACTCTGCGACGAGAAACCCGATGTTGTCTTCTCGGTTCACCTGGCCCTAACATTGTTATCCAACTACGACAGGTTACCAAATTTATAGTAAGCAAACTGGCGACGCGGTTATAATTTTCCCCTTCCGCAAACGCTTGCAGTATTCGGTCCTTCACTTCCAATGAGAGGGGCGCATACGGTCTAGTTCGTGACAATTCTTTTCACTACAATGACCGCTAAACAATGAAAAGGGAAAACATTTCATCACGCCCTAACTTATCCAAATGCAATCATCCATGCAGTTTTGCATAGCGGACTCAAACGTCCGATCTAATGACCACAGCATAAAAGGCGTTTCCATATTTGTATCCGATCGCGCCTGGAATACATGTTACATGGCCTTTCCGGTATTTGCATGTGAACCCTGTATAACTGGGCTTTAATGAGCGCTGCGTTAACCTCGATCGACGTATAAATCCCTGCTCTCTTTTCCGGTATGAGGACTCCTTTCAAGCCAAAGGGAATCAAATATCATGTGGAAATTCAACATTGCTCTCGTTGGGGATATTTCGGTGCCTGTGGACTTGGCGCTTACCAATTGCAGAGCTGTTTCGGTGCTTCAGAAAACTTCTAGTCTTTCGTGTTAGGCGATTCCGAGCAGGTTATGATTCAGTCGGCATGTCAGTTTTTGCACTGGTTGGCGGCATCCGGTTTCGGATTTGCGTAACACTGTGGCCAGCCACAGGTAGCTTGCGCCTACAGAGGGACCATGGATGGCTTGAGTTGCACCATCCACAAATCCACCTACACACCCCATATCCAGTGTAAACCCGAAGGAATAAGGCCTGGAGGCATGTGGATGGGAGCCACGTTTCATCAACGGAGCCGGCCCACACTCCTTCACAGGCAAACACAAGCGCGCTGTATTTGGGAATCAAGCGCACACAAGGCGGTGCCTGGACCGTAGTCCGCTCCACAATGAGGGCATGGCACCACACTTCGAGCCAAGCACGGCCCAAAGACTGTGCACCCTGTCCCCTCCAGCAACGACCAACTGTCTCCTGGAGCCAGTAATCCAGGTGGATGTTGTTAGACAGGCAGGCACCATGTCAACATGCACATCTAGTACAGCTACACCAGGGATGTCAAACGACAGGCAATCACTTGAAATGATATTATTAAATAAAATATATCTGTTTAAGCACACGGCTATGCAGACATAATTCTTCTTTACATTATTATATGAAGTGTTGTTTAGCAACGAATCCGCGATAAGTACAAAATGTCCAGAAGTTACTCAAAAATGCTACAAACACAATACGTTTAACGAATCAAACCACAATTTGCGTAAGCAACGTGTGCAAGTTAATGGAAGATTATATAAGTAGGCAAAAAGACACACATATAAATTGGAATGGAATTTATCCAGCTTAGAATGTCCTTGTTTAAGTGTAAGTTGGTTTAACCCAACTGCGGTGAAGAAGGGTCATGAGTGCAACATCAACCTCAGCATGGGTCACAAAATACATAATTACATATGCATATACACCCATACACATACATTTCATGTTATAGAACACGTATTTTTGGACATTTTCGACCATCCTTCGTTATCTTAACATAAACATGCCTGTATGGGTGTGCCTCGAGTTGTCGAGAATAAAAAGTTGATCTATAAATCAGGCGAAATGTTCTGTCCTACACATTGGAGCTGCTAGTCTCCTCACACGCTATGTAGTTAGTAGAAGTGAAATCCCTCGTGTCACTCAGCAGGTTGATCTAGACGTCGTCCACACAGTGCTTTACTCTGGGTACAATTGGAGGAAAGCTGATGGTAGAAGGTTCCGTACGATGTGGTTTATACACCACCCCGTCGATGTCCTAACAGTCAATAATTGTGTGGAGCTGTTCTCGGCTTTTGTGTGACCCCACTTACATACTCTTTAATCCACATTGTCAGCAGCAACAATGAACAATGAACAATGATTTATCACGGGCTAAAAGCAAGTGCTTGACACGTCCCGTAGGATGCTTGGGGTGAATATGATGAAATCAAAATATATCTGGGTCATCTACCGAACATCTGCCGAGATGAATACTTTGATAAATTACATCAGTGTAAAATTTAAAAGAATCAAACGTGAACGTTCAGAAATACACGGGGGTGCAGTGATCGTTGATATAAGGCATGAGAAAAGTAAAATATGGTCGCTCACTTGGTTCCATTTGATACATAAATCCTGTTGAAAAGCATGCTTGGCGTAATCCACAATAGAAGAGTTTAGGTAACAAAATGTTGGGAGCTAAGAGCAACATCTAATCGTTTTTTGAAAACGTCCAAGGTAGGAGAGGATACAACTGAGTCTGGGAGTGCGTTCCAAGGTGAGCAAACCCGAAGGGAAAAGTAATTTCGTCGACACTCTAGACGGC